GCCGACCGACTCAAAACCAACGAGGTCGGCCGCAGCGGCAGAGGCGACAGAGGGCAGCAGGGGGGAGGGACCACACCCCTCAAAGATGGGGGTGCGAGGGTCACCCCGAGAGGCCCCTACAGCGACAATACTCTTCTCAGCCGCTAGCAGGGACTCCTCAAGGAGGTCGACAGTGAGAGTGGTGGGACAGACAGAGAGAAACTGGTCCCTAACGACACGAAGGGACTCAGGGAGACGGGTGACGAGAAAGTAGAGAGTGATGTACATGGGAGGAGGGTTCGCAGCGCGGAACTCAGCAGGAAGGGCAGCGCGGTAGCGGGTGTCACTAGCGCGGAGGTGGGTAACGAGGTCAGCGACAGTGGGAAAGGAAGCGAGGTCAGGGAAGAGAAACGGTAGCATGAGGCGGCTAAGGGTAGCGGAGGAAGGGGAGGAGTAGCGCGCAACTACAGCGTCGTACAAGGCCTGAGCGGTCTTGCACTGACTAAAGTGGGCACGCTCAGAGGAAGGGAGGTGGCGACGCACAGCAAGACGTGCAGCAGCATCGCGGGTCGCCCACTTGGAGCGAACGGCAGACGTCAGCATCAGCAGGCGGGGCAGGGACAGCGCCAGAGACAAAGTCAAAGAGAGAGACCTCATCTACCGCATCACACAGTAAGTACAGCTGCAGGTCCTCGATCCAGACGGCAAAGTCAATGGCCCTCCCCTCAGCGTCAAAAGTGAGAACATTGGGGGTGGCCATGGCAGCAGCTGAAAGTCTCACCGGGATGGGAGAGTCGGGTAGGTCAGCAGCAGGCGGCTCGGGCTGCTCGGGCGGCTCGGGCGGCTCGGGCGGCTCGGGCGGCTCGGGCGGTTCGGGTGCTGCTGGGCGGCTCGGCTGCTGCTGGGCGGTTCGGCTGCTGCTGGGCGGCTCGGCTGCTGCTGGGCGGCTCGGCTGCTGCTGGGCGGCTCGGCTGCTGCTGGGCGGCTCGGCTGCTGTTGGGCGGCTCGGCTGCTGCTGGGCGGCTCGGCTGCAGTGTAGTGGCGGGGCCGGGACAAGGGACGGCGGGGCCGTCAGGGTGCAGCGGTGGGGCCGAGACAGGGGACGGCGGGGCCGTCAGGGTGCAGTGGCGGAGCCGGGACACGCGCAGTGGCGGGGCCGTAGGGTGCAGCGGCGGGCCGTCAGGATGCAGCGGAGGGCCGCTGGAAGCACCCGCGGCTGAGCAGGCTGCGGGGCCGCGTCGTAGGAGGCGGCAGGGCCGCGGCTGAGCAGGCGGCAGAGGCCGCGTCGTAGAGGGCGGCGGGGCCGCGGCTGAGCAGGCGGCGGAGGCCGCGTCGTAGCGGGCGGCGGGGTCGCGGCTGAGCAGGCGGCGGAGGCCGCGGCGTCTGCAGGCGGCGGAGGCCGCGTCGTAGAGGGCGGCGGGGCCGCGGCTGAGCAGGCGGCGGGGCCGCGTCTTAGGAGGCGGCGGGGCCGCGTCTAGGTGGCGGGGCCGCGTCTTAGTGGCGGGGCCGCGACTTAGTGGCGGGGCCGCGACGTAAGGGCGGGGCCGCGACGTAAGGGCGGGGCCGCGACTGGACGGCGGGGCCGCGAACGAAGGGCGGCGGGGCCGCAGGGGAAGGGCGACTCGGGGGGGTCGCTAAAAAAAGGATCGCGCGCCTCGGGGCGCGCTTCGGTGGGCCCTAGGCGAAGTTCCCACAGGGAACCCGCTCTATACCATGTGAAATGAATGAACAGGAATGAATTGACTAAGTCAGAGTTGGGTACAAATACAACCCTAGCAAACTGTACCCGATATGTGCTACCCCACTATAGCCTACAAACATGCATCAGCTATAATAATCTGACAGTGTGCTCTTGGCACGGACGTCCTAGAGGACAGACAGGAGGAGTTACAGTGTCTGGCGGCTGCTTCACCTCATCTCGCGTCTGTACTACTTGCCCCTGAGGGAGACCCGGATGCACTAGACATCCCAACTCCGCGTTCTTACGCGGAGGCCGTAGAGGGTCCCTACTCCTCTCAGTGGCAGGCAGCTATGGATGCAGAGATGGCTTCCTGGAAGTCCACAGGCACCTACGTTGACGCAGTTCCCCCTCCTGGGGCGAACATCGTCAGTGGCATGTGGATCTTCCGGGTGAAGCGGCCGCCGGGCTCTCCACCTGTCTTCAAGGCGCGGTACGTTGCTCGTGGCTTCAGTCAGCGGCAGGGAGTTGACTACTTTCAGACCTTCTCTCCCACCCCGAAGATGACCACTCTTCGGGTGCTGCTGCACATAGCCGCTCAGCGCGACTACGAGCTTCACTCTCTCGACTTCAGCACTGCGTTCCTGCAGGGTAGCCTGCACGAGGAGATCTGGCTGCGCCGTCCACCTGGCTTCACTGGGACTTTCCCTCCTGGCACCCAGTGGAGCCTCCGACGGCCAGTCTACGGTCTCCGCCAGGCACCGCGTGAGTGGCACGACACACTGAGGACTACGCTTGCGGCTCTTGGGTTTGCTCCTTCTACTGCTGACCCGTCGCTGTTTCTGCGCACCGACACTTCACTGCCGCCGTTCTACATCCTCGTGTACGTCGACGACTTGGTCTTTGCCACAGCGGACACTGCTGGACTCGCCTACGTGAAGTCCGAACTGCTGAAGAGACACACGTGCACAGACCTGGGTGAACTGCGCAGCTACCTTGGCTTGCAGATCACTCGGGACAGAGCACGCCGCACCATTACCTTGACTCAGTCACACATGGTGCAGCAGGTCCTTCAGCGCTTCGGCTTCACGTACTCCTCGCCTCAGGCCACTCCTCTGCCTACTCGCCACTCACTCTCAGCTCTGCCTTCGGATGAGTCCGTAGAGTCGAGTGGTCCGTATGCAGAGCTTGTTGGCTGCCTCATGTACCTGATGACCTGCACACGACCTGACCTTGCATATCCTCTGAGCATTCTTGCACGCTATGTTGCTCCTGGGAGACACAGACCAGAGCACATGGCTGCAGCGAAGAGGGTATTGCGCTACCTGTGCAGTACGTCGGGCATGGGGCTTGTGCTTGGAGGGCGAAGTCCAGTGGTCCTTACCGGCCACGCGGACGCTTCTTGGGCTGACGACCAGGCTACGCAGCGGTCGTCACAGGGTTACACCTTCAGCCTTGGTTCCGGCTCTGTCTCGTGGCGGTCTACTCGCTCGTCTTCGGTTCTCGGCTCCAGTTGTGAGGCTGAGATCTACGCCGGGGCCATGGCTGCACAGGAGCTTCGCTGGCTCACCTACCTGCTGACTGACCTTGGAGAGCCGCCTCGTTCTCCTCCAGTGCTGTACGTAGACAACAAGGCCATGCTGGCCTTGTGTCGAGAGCAGCGCTTGGAGCACAGAACGAAGCACATTGCTCTCCGCTACTTCCTTGCTCGTGAGCTGCAGCAGCGTGGTCAGTTGCGACTTGCGTACGTGGCCTCTGAGGCCAACACTGCTGATGTGTTCACCAAGGCACTCGCGCCTTGTGATCATCAGCGCTTTTGCACCCAGCTGGGTCTTGTGTCTGTCTTGCCTCACTTGCTCTCCTCTTGACTTTACTTGTACTGTGACATATATATATACCTGCTCTTGCTTGTCTAGTTTTGTATATATGTCTGTACTCCTGCATGTGAACTGGCCTCTGGCCCTGCTCTTGTGCTCGGACTGTGTGGTGACTTTGTGATCCACCCTGAGCTTGCTTTGCTTTGCTTGACTGGTCTTGTGACCCCTTGTTCTCCCCCACTTTGCCTATGGGGGTGTGTCAAACATTATATATGTTATACTTGTGTAGGCTACAGTGGGTTAGCCTATAGGGGGTACACAATTCTAGGGTTTACTACTTGTACTCTTTTCACTTCTAGTTGATCCATTCCTGTTCGCTTATTCTCACATGGCTCTGTCGCCCAAATGGTTCAGCGTCGCGACAAAATGCAAGTGGTAGGACAGCGCCGGCAGTGTAATCATTTTGGCCGACCCGAAGACGGCCGAGGTGGTCGAAAAGCTCCACCTCAACGGCCCTTTGAAGCGGATTGTTTCCAGCCGCGGGGTCTGCCCGGCGGTTCGACGGTCTGCGTAAAAACAAAAGCCCCACCCAAATGTTTGTGCTGAAAATGTATAGAGTATTCCAGATCGGTTCGAGCATTAGTTAGGTGTGTCGAAAGGATTTGTGGTGCGACTGGTTTATACCTTTTGTTTGGCGCGACTATCCCTAAATAGCCCATTGGTCTAGCATTGGGGCCATTCATTTGAAAAGTAACATTGGCAATGGTCTGAAACTTTACCAGGGATGGGCTGTAATGATTAGGCGACAGTCACTGTTACTGCGCGCTGTGGTGTCAAACCACCCCGTTAAAATTCCCGCCATGTTTTAGCAGCTGGGCGGGAAACCAAGGACATCGCAGGGGGGTCATTCGCGCTCGCGGGAATTATGCCTCGTCGCAGGGGGTCGCAAACCGTTTCCTGCCCAACCAAAGAGGTCACCTCAAAGCGTTTCTGGCGGGTTACCCTCGCTGTCGAACAGGGCCTGTATCAACCTCAATAGCAGCTGAACAGACCCATCGGCTGCCCTCAGACCCATCAAAGTGGTTCCCGCTCTTTATACCTCTGTTCAAATCTAGTAGATGAAAGTATGTACAGTAACAAAAGAACAATGAAAATTCAGCAATCACAGTTTCACTGTTTTAGTAATGTTATTCGCATCCTCTTCAAGGAACTGGCGAAATATTGTTTCAAGAGCTTCAGCTACCTTATTGACATGCGCCAGAACAGCGGAATAGCATGTTCCATCGCTCAACACAAAGTGGTAGCGCAGGGAGCAGGCGTATGACAGCTGATGGTAGCATGTGTTGGGACAGCCGTTGGGGCGAATCTCCAGCACTGATGACTGTGCTGGCATGAAGACCATGTTTGTCAGCGCTGCACCATGGCCGCCTATGTACAGCCGCGCTTGGCGGAACAGGTCACGTGATGATGATGGAAACAAGAAACGCGAACAAACCAAGTAGTGCAAAAGAACAAAGATTGGAGATTTAACGAGGAAACTTCAGGCGTGTGGCTGTGAAAGCAACAGATCACATCAGGAGAACAAAGAGCATGTGATCCAAGGTGGTGCAGCAGTGACTATTCTCACCTTCCAGTATCCCCATGGACCCATTGAACGTCACCACCCTGTCGGGAAATATCTTCTTGACGGCCGATTCCAGCTCAGCGAAGTTGATGATAGCTGGCTTCTTGCCTGGGCGCTTTGCCAGCACCACCACCCAATCAGCAGGCAGGAGAGCCATCTGTGCGTCAGTGAGGGGCGGCAGATTGCGGTAGGTCCAGCCGGGGTTGAAGAGAGGTAGCCCTTCGGAATGGAGGAAATGGCGCGAGCGAATGGTGTGCCAGAGAGCCCTGCTGGGCGTGCCACAAAACTGGAACATAGGCTGATGCAAGGTGGGCAACGCGAAAGAAGCAGAGAAGAGGGAAGAAACACGGGCCAGGGAACACAGGTGAGAGGAAGGTGAAACGGACTCAGACAAGTAGCAAAAAACAATTGAGCCCAGACAGGTGTGAGAAGTGTGGGGTCAATTCACGCACGGCATCTGACCTGCTGCACCCATGCCGCATGGTAAATTTCTCCTGTGAAGGTGGCGAGCGCTCTCATGCTCGCACGAGGAATGCCCGTGATTGGCGCTCCCATGCGGTCATACGCTCTCCACTGATGCCCTTCGCAACAAAACAGGGAACAGGGCAAGGGAAGGGTGAGGAGAGGAGGAAAGGAGTGAAGCATGGCGATGTATGAAGTTCAGCATAGATTGGATGCAGACGGACTCGCATGCAGCTCGTGCAGTGGCACAGAGTTGCTGGGATGGACAGACGGGTGCAGAATTAGATATGTAGCAAACCACAGGCATGCAACGGAAAAAAAATATATTTCTCCAAGCTCCACGCACTTAACACAAGCACTCAACACACATCCCTGTTACCCCAAGCAACCACCTTCTTGGTCCACCAACGTCCATTCCTCTCTCCCTCCCCGCACTGCGGCACACACTTGCACGTCGCTCATTTGGCACACCTGCCCACCTGTGGCGAGGATGGGGTACTTGCGATACTTGAGTTTTTTGAGAATTCTCAAAAAACACGACCTGTGGCGAGGATGGGGTACTTGCGATACTTGTGGAAGAGGCTTGCCGCCACCACAAAGCCCGGCAGCATTTCCACCAGAACGTGGTAGAAGTTCCCACCCACCGCGTACGCCCTGCTCCATGCTCCATGCGGCTCGTGCACCGCCGCTGCTGGGGAGAATGTGTACTGCGTGGTGGGGTAAAAGGTGGAGCGGTTGAAGGGGTGGGGGGGTTGATGGCGTGGAAGGGGTTGACGGGTGGGAGGGATAGTAAGGGGTGAACGGGTCGACCAGGGCGGGGAGATGAAGGAACTGGAGCATGCGACACTGTTGAATGGATGATGAGATGCTGTGGTACAGCTCTCATGGAATGGGTACTTGCGGGGGCAAAAAAGATAAAGTGAAAGGGATGGAAGAATGGATGAAAGGAGGGAGGGAGGGAGCACAAAGGTGAGGGGCGAATGGCTCGCTTACCTTGCCGATTTGATGGCACCCGCCTCGCATAAACTGATGCGAGGTGTTGAAGAGGAACCCATCGTGCGTTCATGTACACATCCGCCAGCTGGAAGTTCTGCAGAGCCCACGGCATGTGGTACCAGTAGTCCTTTCTGTGACTGCACGACAGGTCATACTCCCCTTCCTCCCCCCCCACCAACTTTTCCTCCCCTGCTGCCCGGATCGGGCAGTTTAACGGAGCGTGAGTGGGGAACATCTCTCGATCCATGAGCTCGTCATCCCAGCAGGCCCACACGTTGGGAAACCCATCGATGCACTGGAGGAATTGCGGGCAGGGAAGGCCCATGCAGCTGAGCTTGGGCCCGCTAAGTGTGTTTGGTTTAAAGTAGTTGAGCCACATGGCTGTCTGCTCGTCGCTGCTGATGTGCATGCCCAGCGGCCGGCTCTTCAGCCTCTTACGCTCCTGATCGTTCCTGGTGGGGACTGTCAGCGGTGGTTGGAGGGTAGGGACGGAAGAGGTCGTGGAGTGTGAGTGCAAGGTGGTTGAAGAAGTGACTTTGGAAAGGTGCGAACAAACTACTAGGATTCTAAGAGCCTTATGGCGCATTCTCAAGTTCCCCCACCAGCAAAGATCCCCCACCAGCCAGTTTTTTTCAAAGCTGATGGGGGTTTTGGTGGGAATGCTCCCACTCTGACCACCGAACCTCATTTTGGCAAGCGACAGATGTCACCAGCATCGCATATCCGGTATCCAATGAAATTGATGCGCCGGCTCGCATACCAAGTGTTGGACTTACCTCGCCAGGCAAAACCTAAACGGCTGAGCCTGACGAAAATTTTTGGCACCATAGTCAAATCAAGTCAACTTGGGTGATGTTAGCAGATTCACGCAAACAGCGCAGAAATGGGTTGCGTGGGTAGGAATAAAATACATGTTGCCGGCTATGTGCACGAAACTGGCATGTCTAACACCGTAGTCCCCACACCCTGCAAACGTGGCACGATCTCCATCGTCGCACACTGACGGACAGGCCAGGCATTGCGACGGTGGTCGGTTGGACTCAAGGTGTCCAGAAGTCGAACCGCGTGGGGGAACTTCTAAATGTGAATTAATGCCACGTCAACATTTCGAGTCGCATGGGGGAACTTCTGATGGTGGGGCAACTTCAGAATGCGGCCTTATACTAGTTGGGTTGTTCGAAGTGTGACAACGTGGTACAGCAACAAGCTATGAGCGCGAGAGACGCCGCATGATGTTGGCACCTGAATTCGATGGGCTCGTAAGGACCGGCTTCTTCCGGGTTGTCAGGAGGGTGTAGAAACCCATTCGGCACTTCCAGCGCGTTACTCGCACTCGCGCCATGCCCACCCGCAACCTGCATGGCCCCGCCTGACGCGTCTCCTTGTGCTGTCCCTGCTGCTCCCTCCTTCACCTGCGCTGCCTCTCCCATAACGTCGCCTGCTGCGGGCATTGGCAGGTGGTTGATAACTTTGATAATCTCGCTACAGAGATGGCCCGTGCTAGCTGATAATCGCGAGAGACCATGTCCACACGCGAGATCGCAATGTTTAGAAAATCCACGAATCCAAGGAAGGGTGAAGTTAGACTGAATGCATGTGCAAACGCGGTCCTTCTGCCATGCGGAACTAGAAACATCCGCACTCCACAAGCATCACCACAAACACTCACCTGCTCCAACCTGCCGCACGCGGAACGGATACGCGAGCACGAGGAGAAGCAAGCAACGCTTCGTCGCGGATACTCTGCCACATTCCGCTGACACGAGGCGCCGTTCAAAGGTGTGAGGACGAACTCGGGCAGGTGAAACCATTGTTGGTGTCGATGCGGAGATAATGAGCAACTAATGGCTAGTGGAACTGATGTTGAGTGCGGAGAAGATTCTACAGCGCCCAGATCTCAGATCAGTGCTCGTAATGCACAGGCGGTTTCTCGATGCAAATGCATCAATAGTAAACAGCCGTGATCATGTTTCAGATAAGTACGCTGATAACACCGTTGGCTTTCTTCCGAATGTGGACTTGTCGAGAAAAACCAATCCCAAGAGATGTGAGTGCAGCGCATACCCATCCAGCCAACCCCATAAGCTTGGTAAAGGCTCTTTGAGCATCTGCTTGGCATACAGTGCCATCGCCTCGTACGGAACTAGGTAGGACGAGCCCGAAGGTGACGGAAGTTGGAGTACGGGCAGAGAAACAAGCGAATAATCCCTGCAAACGTGTAGTGCCTTGAATGAAATTGGCGACGACCATGTGTACGGTATTCTCGAGGGGAGATTTCTTGTACACTGGTCGTAAAGCCTTTGGCCCAAATTGCTCAAGCCTTTGACGAGGAGGTAGCTCAGTTTTTGAGCTGTCGCGAGAGGATCAATTTCCTAAAATTCGTTTTTTTTCGCAGCACACAGCCAAACCTTGCCTTTCCCCTACTGGGAGCTCGAAAGTCCCAAATTGCAGCTGACAGTTCAGCTTTGAAAAAGTGGAGAACGACGCACCGTTTAGGAACATTATCTACCGTTTTAAAACACCTTCGGTGCTCATGTACCCCTCCCTCAAGAAAGAGGTGAAGCAGCCACGCAGAAGTCAGGTGGGTGGAGGGGTGATCCTTCTTTGGTTCAGGGCTTGTTTGACGCGGTTCCATACGGTCAAGAACTTTAGCCTCTGGCGATCTGTGACTCGAGCGGGGTAATGGATACACTCTGTTCGTTCTAATTTCACCAATCAACAGCGCTGATTGGGGTGAGCTGAGCTCACGCAACCACCTGAGCGACGCTGACCTGGCATCTTCTCTGGCTCGGTGCACAGGTATGGAGCTGACGTGGGGCGTGCGTGTCGGGGCAGCAGGGAAGATGTACTGTACTGCTCCGTGCTTCGCCCGTGTTTTACTGTTCCTGCTCGTATGAACCTCTGAGCAGGTCCGCGCGCTGTCGGAAGGAGAATCTGCTGTTTGCACTGTATTCCGCGCACACCTTGACATGGCTGGGCTTGCGCTTGTTGGTTGTCTGCTGCAAGCAAGCACCCTGTCCGCCACCCTCTGTCCACATTCGCCTGATCGATTTTGTGGGAAAGTCACACATCGCACGGCAAAGACGTGCACCGAAGCAGCCCGTTCCAAGCCAAGGCCGCCTGCTTCGGTCGAAGTCATATGGGCTGTGAGTGCAGGTTAGTGGGGATCATTGGTTTGGTTGGGAAGTGTCAAACCAAGCCACTGGCTGTCGTGCCTGGCGTGATCCCTGACTGGTGGTGACTTGTTGGTGACTCGTCTCCAGTTTCAGCTTTCAATTTTCAAATCGAGACTCTTGGACTCTCAATCTGCTCTATGCAATGCACCTCGTATTCTGAAGGTTCTTGACACCAGAGAGGCTTTCCTGTTCTTGACACTGGCCGCTAAGCCATTTAGAGGGTCTGTCTTGTGGAGGGTTTGTTCCTTTTATTTTCCAGAAACACGTGCCGTAGTTCGTCAGCCAGCCATTCTTATGTTTTGGTGTTCGCTATCACTACCATTACAAAGAGTATCTCATTACGCCGTGTAGTAGACAAGGTTGAGAGTTTCGCCTTCGTGATCTCTAGAGTCGGTGTGAACCGATTCTGATTGAAGCATTAACAGCGTCATGGCCGACAGTGCATTCGATCCAAGCGCAGCAGCAGCGAGGCAGCGTCGTATGGACCTTCGTCGCAAAAAGGCGACCACACCAAGGTAACCACACCCGTTATTTTGTGTTTAGTGAAATTTCTCGTTCGGTTGTTAAGTCATGGCTCTGTTCTCGCTTTCGTTCTGCGGTTCCCTCCGAATCCTTTCCTCAACAGTAATCCTGCTTCACAGTACGTGGTAGCGTTCAGATGTGAGGTGCGAGTCACTTTATGTGACGCTGCTTCTTCCTGGCCTTGCTACATTCCATCGTATTACAGTTTAAATTTTGCTGTCCTGCATCGTAAGAATTGGGCTCGTGTCCACTCTTTCTCTCTAGTCCCATCCCTATTTTTCATGTCTTTTTATTTTTCCCCCTTGTGTCCTCATTTCACTTCCCTTCCCTCTGTGACTCGCTGCTTCCGCCATGGCCGGCAGCGGTCTGATCGTGTGTCGCAAGCACCTAGGCGTGGGTCTGCTCCCTCAGAAGCGCGACACAAGCGACGACTCCAGCACCAACTCCTCCCTCTCCTCCTTCCCCCTCTCCCCCTCCTCCATCTCCCCTTCCCACTCTAACCCCAACTCCTCCGATCCCATCACCGCCGCCGCCTACACCGCCCTCCGCACCAAGTTCCGCCGGAGCCAGTTCCGCCGCCCGCGCAAGGGCAAGGGAAACTCCGCCTCCGCCGAGGGCTCGTCCGGGTCGAAGTCTCCGCGAGGGGTGAATGGGCAAGAGGGGGACGGGGGAGAGGACGAGGATTCGAGCAGTGATTTGTCGTCGGAGACTAGTTCCAGCGGCACGACAAGCAGCGGCGAGGGGAACGACGCGGAGGTGGACGCTGCGCTCTCAGTCGCTGCGAGTTTGCTGCAGGAGGAGACGAAGCTTCAGAGCCTGGGGATGGATGGGGTCACAGGGGCGGGCGGCGCGGCAGCGGACGCTACGGCGTTCGTGCCGCTGCCTCCGCGAGTTATTCCGCCCAGCACGTGCAGCGGGGCGAAGATCAAGGGCGCGCCGGCGGACGAATGTCCGGGGAACGGGGTGCTGTCGGTATGCGGGCGGCGGCGGGAGATGGAAGACGCGGTGTCGATGGTCCCCGCGTTCGCGCTCGTGCCTTGCGCCAGCCGCGCGGGGTGCTCGCTCGCGGGGAGCGATTCGTGCGGAGGACAGGGCGCGGACGACCCGCAGTGCCAACTGCACATGTTCGCCGTGTTCGACGGCCATGGCGGCAGCCAGGTGCTCTAGTCGTTCCGCAGGGGAGGAGATAAAGGGGGTTGGGGGAGAGACAGGAGAGGAAGGGCCGTGAGCGCATTTATGGGGGCCAGTATTAGCGCGTGAGGGGTTTAGTGCTTGTTGCACTGTTTTCGGATGTTTAGGAATGCGTTCTGGAAGGAAGAATTGCACGTGTTGTCCCAGTGTGCCCCTCCCCTTCCCCCTCCCTTCTCCCCCCGTCCCCTTTCTCCCTTCCCTATCTCCCCCTCCACCCCATTCCCCCCGCTTTGAAATAAAAAACAGGCGGCAAATTTCCTGTCGGCGCACATGGCCACGGCGCTAGCAGAAGAGCTCTCTATCACGCTCTCAGGTATCGAGCCCCTTCCCCCCGTCACGCCCGACGCTGCTGCTGCTGCTGCTGCTGCTGCTCCTGCCGCCGCCACAGGCGCGCAGCAGGCAGGCGCGGAGGTGGGCGCGGAGGGCGCGCAGAAGGTGGACCCGGTGCTGCACGCGCACTGGCAGCGCGCCATGGTGCAGTCGTTCGCGCGCATGGACGCTGAAATCAGCGGCCACTGCTTCCTCCGCCGCTCCCACTGCCACGGCGCATCTGGTAACGCGGGCGACGGGGGAACAGGCGCGGATGGGGGCGGCGGAGGCGGAGGCATGACCCCCGAGTGCGTGCATGAGCCACTGGCGGCGGAGACGGTGGGGTCAACGTCTGTGGTGCTGGTGGTGACGGCACACCACCTGGTGGTGGGCAACTGCGGGGACTCCCGCGCTGTGCTGTGCAGGGGTGGCAAGGCTGTGCCTTTGTCCAAGGACCACAAGGTGAGAGACAGGCACAGGGTCATGGGCGCACGGAAAAGGGATGGACAAGTTTAGGGGGTGGTGGAAAGGGAGAGGTGTGGAGTGTTGTCACACATTTTACAGCACATCTTCTGACGTTTCCTGCATGGACTGACCCTTGTGTCACACATGTGACGTGTGTAATCCTCTTCCTTCACTCTTCAACCTCCCCTTTCCCCTCTTCCCCATGCTTGCCTGCCAGCCTGAGCGTGAGGATGAGATGAAGCGGGTGGAGAAGGCAGGTGGGCGTGTCATTTTCTGGAATGGCTACCGAGTGCTTGGAGTGCTGGCCATGTCACGCGCCATTGGTGAGTGGACTCATTGCCGGTGGTCAAGTACGTGTGTTAACAACTTATTGCAAATTCGTGGTACAAGGAATATGAGACAGACGCTATCCAGACCGATCTGCTTATTGGCTGAGACTCAAATGTAGGCATGGGCTCAGCTACAGGCTCAGACACAGTGCCACTTGCCTAAGGGTGTCTCCACATCAGTGTACACACCCATGCCTGCGTCTCTCCCCCTGCCCCACTCCACCTCTCTCCCCACCGGTCACCCCCAGGCGATCGCTATCTGAAGCCCTACGTTATCCCAGAGCCTGAGGTGACTATCACCCAGCGCCATCCAGATGACGAGCTTGTAGTGCTGGCCTCAGATGGTCTCTGGGACGTTATCTCCAATGAGGCTGCTGTTGACATCGCCCGCCGCTGCCTCGCCCAACGTGGAGGCTCAGGGGGCACAGGGTCGGCCGGAGCTGCCCCTGAGGCGCCTCCAGCTGGTGATGAGACGGCTGCTGCTGCTGCGGAGACCCTTGCTGCTGCCGGCGCCCAGGGGGAGGAGGAGATGACCCCGGCTGCTCTGGCTGCTGCTGTGCTGACCAAGCTGGCTCTGGTGCGCGGCAGTGGGGACAACATCAGTGTTGTGGTTGTGGATCTCAGGGGAACACGGTGAACGGGAGGAGCAGAGGATGGTGACATGTGAAGAGTGGCTCTTTTGTAGCTGTTGGTGCTGAAATTCTCCTGTGACTTCTGCCAGAGATGCTGAAGTGTGACCTGGCTGTACCTGCACTTTCCAAGATGGAAATTCCTGGTTTATGACATGACTCTAGGACTTGCTCGCTCCCAGCCATGAGGCATGCGGCTTCCATTTCACTTCCGCAGGTTTTTGCACTGCCCTGCCTGGTGCTGCTTGCAAGTCACGCAAGACCCCTGACTTTCCACTGACAAACCTTGTTATTCGAAGCCTGGGCCTTAACAGTTTCTTAGGTGTTGTAGGTACTGCCGGTATCACAACTTTGCCTGTCCCATGTGGTGGCTTTCTTTCCCAAATTCTGCTTGTAGTTACTTGTTCTCTTATCTATGAATAAAATCACTGCTGGAGCTTTCAGAATGTGAGAAAGCTTTGTGTGATGTTTGTGGTCCCCTTAAAGCCAGCAGGCAAAATAGTGACCCCCCCCCTCCAAGTTGGGTCCACTTGATGAAATATTTTTGTTTTGTTTTGGAATGTTGGAATTGCTGTATGTGTGCTTTTTTTTCCGACCCTCGGACGAGTTTCTTATTGGACCAGGAACGATAGTTCATTGTCAACACCAATTGTTGATCCTTCAACGACACCGCTCCTCATTGACGACACACCACCGACACCAGCGCAACAATTACACCCAGCACCACGAGAAGTTCATCGTAGCGCCAACTTCACCGCCAACTTCTACTCCAACTCCGACATGTACCGACGATCACCCGGACATCGCGCCGACGAAAGCACCTGGCACGCAAGGATTGGACATCCAAGCAACACAGGTATTAAACAACACAATAAGAGCAGGAGTACTCGACAAGGACTCACTCCTACTGACCGACGGACGAGAACTTCAACGAGTACACGGAACGTGCTTCACCTGCCCTGAAGGTGACTTACCACATCAACCGTTCGCGCCTCATCACAACTCGAGCGCTCCCGCGTACGCACCACTCGAGAATGTGTATAGCGACATCCTGTTCAATCAGGAACCGGAACAAGTAACATACAACTACACGATCACCTTGATCGACGCCGCCACTCGTTACGTCTGGTGTCGAAACGTAAGAACGAATGTAGAGTTAAGTTGAAAACTAGGGCCTAGGCTTAGGAGCCTAGGCCCGAGATTAGGTGTCGAGCGGGTTTAGTCCTAGGGAGAAGATCGAGTGAGTTGGAAGAGAGTTGGGAAGGAATGAGGCTTCACTATAGTTTCGAAGTACATATAGCAAAGGAAACAAGTGAAGAGGTGCACCACCTACAGATTTAAATAACTACACTAACTACAGCTACAGGCAGTTACAAATATAGGTTTTGACATCTGGCACCTAAACCTCCCTAGCCGCGACATGGCATTCGCAGCCTTTGTTGCCTGGCTACCAGTAGCAGAGAGAGGTTCGGGCGTACAACTGAAAAGCTTTCAGTCTTACGGAGGAGGAGAATACACCTCTCAGCGATTCAAGCAGTACCTGGCGGAAAGGGGAATCAAGCAGCTCATCTCCCTTCCCTACGCCCATCAGCAGCAAGGAGTAGCAGAAAGAATGAACAGAATCCTGCAGAACAGCATGCGCAAACTGTTACGTGGCATGCGGCTACCCAACCACCAATGGCCTGCAGCAATGGACCACGCCGTCATGCTGCACAATTTGCTGTCGTCGTCATCGCTTCCGAACAACGCATCACCGCATCTGCTATGGACAGGGAAACAGGGCAGCACAAAAATGTTACGAGTTTTCGGATGCATGGTACAGTACCGACCCCCAGCAGTACGAGCAGGCCGATTTTCTCAACGAGCATTGTGGGGACTACACCTGGGCATCGAAAAGAACTACAACGCGTGGAAAATCTTCCACGTCCACTCCAAGGAAACAATAGCAGCACGTGACGTAATTTTCTACGAACGACTCACGCTCCAGACATACCTTGCCAACTTGCAAGAAGACGAAGATCCCACAGGTGGTTTTCGTGGTGGCCGAGCCTTTGCCTCAGCAGCGGACGAAGCTGACTGGGACGAGCAGAATGTGGACAACGCATCAGAAGAAGCCGGACCTCTTCCGTTCTGCTCCGTCGACGTTCCCATGGACGAAGACAACCCTTGCGAAAGTGCCAACGCCGAACCTTCTACCATTTCGCCGACAACGGTTACGTAAGATCTGCGACAGTCAACACCAACGAAGCATAACGAGTAGGACCAAACTTCATACCTGATCCAGAAGCAGGAGATGAAGCAGCTTATCCCGAGGATGTAAATCTTCCCTGCTACTCACAGAGTGGAATGCAGATTCTCGGACTCGTCACCAGAGTCCACGGCTCTGCCACTCCTAAAGAGCCTGCGACGGTTCAGCAGGCTCTGGGGGGGGAACATAAGGAAAAGTGTCGCGAAGCCATGAACAAGGAGCTAAAGGCACTGGAGGAACGCAACACGTGGAAAGTGGTTCCTATCGGCGTGGCACGGAACAAGACAGTACTCACCAGGAAGTGGGTCTTCCATGTGAAGACAAAGCCTGACGGCACCATCGACAAATTTAAGGCACGCTGGGTCGTACGCGGTTTCGACCAAGAGCACGGACGCGACTTCACCGAAACATTCGCTCCGGTCACCCGACACACCTCGCTACGCATCCTTCTCGCGATCGCCGCCATGAACAAGAAGAAGCTGCGGCAAATCGACGTCGCTAACGCATTCCTCTACGCACCTGTTGACGCCGAGATCTTCGTCGAGCTACTACACGGCTCCAGCACGGATTCGAACCACGTCTGTCAACTACTCAAGTCACTCTACAGCATCAAGCAAGCTCCGCGACTATGGCAACAATACCTACACGCTCGTCTCATTCGCATCGGCTTCAAGCAATTGCCGCACGACCAGGGCATGTACCGGCTCACGAAGGGTATCGACTACATCGTGCTGATCGTCTATGTAGACGATCTGCTCTACATCGGCTCAACTGACGGCATTACAACCTGGTTCGAAGGGGAGCTACAGCAAGACCTCACACTCACGGTCTCGTCTACCGTCACACAGTACCTCATCCTCAACAACCAGGAAAAAGAAGACGCTATCTACCTCAGCGCCGCGAAATACGCCGACACCATCGCCAAGCGTTTCGCACTCACACCGATTGCTATCTCCACACCGTACCGCTATACGACAGCAAGCAACAAGGAAGGCTCCGCTCTACTCAAGCCCGCCGGCATACGCGACTACCAGAGAAAGCTGGGCTGCCTTCTCTTCGCTGCTGTCACCTGCCGCCCAGATCTATCCTACTTTGCAAGCCAGCTCGCCACCTACCTCAAGAAGCCTGAAGCGAAACATCTGGCGGAGCTCGACCGCGCTCTTCACTACCTTGTCAGTACCCCGACGGTCGGACTGACTTACCATAAGAACGCAACTACAACGCCTAAGCTAATCGGTTACGTCAACGCAGATCACGCGGGCGACTCTGACAACAGGCGATCACGCACCGGCTACATCTACCGCCTCGAGCCTATCGGACCTATCTCCTGACAATCGAGCAAGCAAGAACTAATTGCCCTCTCGTCAGCTGAAGCAGAATATATTGCACCCTGCTCAGCCACCAAGGAAGGACTCTATCTTCGCGAGCTGCTGGAAGAAGCGAAGTTAGCCGAGTTACACAACTTTACCCTGTTCTGCGACAACCAGTCGGCAATTCGCATCGCCAACAAGAACGGCTTCGCGAACAGGACGAAACACATCGCCCTACGATATTTCTTCGTGAAGGACGAGATTGAGAAGGGAAGGCTTGAGCTATCATACTGCCCCACGTCCGAGATGGCAGCTGACTACCTGACCAAGAAGCTCGGAAAGCAGAAGTTCGAATACTGCATGCTACTGACTGGACAGAGCCACGTCAGCGATACTCCAGAAGCGAAGGGGAGTGTTGGAAACAATTATTCCTAAGCGCCTCTGTCGTGTCGAAACACTAAGGCACAAGCAAAGCAAAGCATATCGAGGCACCAGCGAGTCAACCCTCGGAGGTTGAAGTAACCGCTGGAGGTTACGCGAAAGTCAAAGGTCAGCGACCTTTGACCTGACAAAATACAGCGCGACAGCAAGGACACACAACTGACTCGTTACAGAGCAGTTGCCCGAGTCGTCACTGAATCGAACCGCAACAGTAAACTAGTTATAACTGTGCCTTTTCATATTCCCTGTATTCATATATAATCTTGTATTTCTTTGTTTTAATCAACTTACTTTGCCCTCACATACTAGCGCAAGGTGGTTCACAACTCTTTATTAAACGCTTCCACTACTACACCAACTCTACCCGGAGTTCACCCCTGCAAAGATCCTAAGGGCTTTTTCAGCCCAACATACTTCACCAAATTCACGAGTAGCAACATCTCACGCTAAATCCCAAGGAGACACACATGCACGTGATGAGAGTGAAAGTGTTTGAACGTTATTAGAGCTAGTAGAGCTCTGATCAATGTGCTGCCTTGGACTTGAGGCCTGGGAGAGGTGCAATAACGGGAAACAGAAGAGAAAAACAGCACCTGGGGGGAAATTATGATGGGCAAGGTGACGCGAATGAAGAGAAAGAGGGAGGGCGACGGGAAACGGGAGGGCGACGGGAAGGGAGGGCGTAGGAAACGGGAGGGCGACGGAAGAAGGGGGGTGACGGGAAACGGGAGGGCGACGGGAAACGGGAGGGCGACGGGAAACGGGAGGGCGACGGGAAACGGGAGGGCAACGGGAAACGCGAGGGCGACGGGAAAAGGGAGGGCGACGGAAGAAGGGAGGGTGACGGGAAACGGGAGGGCGACGGGAAAAGCGAGAGCGACGGGAAACGGGAGGGCGACGGGAAAAGGGAGGGCGACGGGAAACGGGAGGGGGGCGGGAAACAGGAGGGCGACGAGAAACGGGAGGGCGACGGGAGAAAAGATAGGCGACGGGAGAGAGGATAGGCGGCGGGAGAGAGGGTGTCGAGAATAGATGGAAAGACAGAAAAAACAAACAAACCAAACACAATAACAGAGTACGGAATGGGTCACGCTAACGCGATAGCAGAGGGAGAACGTGAGAGGCGACGGAGAAAGGAGGGCATACGTGATGGGAGAGTCGAAGGTCGCCGGGAGGGCTATTCGAGGCGAGCGAGAAGGGAGGATGGGAAGGGAGCAGAAAGAGAGAGGGCAATGGGAAGGGAGCGGAGAGAGAGAGCGCGACGGGAAGGGAGCGGAGAGAGAGCGCGATTCGAAGGGAGGAGCGAGAGAGAGGGCAGAGCGGAGAGAGAGAACGTGATGGGAAGGGAGGGGCGAGAGAGAGGGCGACGGGAAGGGCGCGGAGAGAGAGAGCGCGACGAGTAGGAGGGGCGAGAGAGAGGGCGATGGGAAGGGAGCGGATAGAGAGATCGCGACGGGAAGGGAGTGGCAAAAGAGAGGGCGATGGGAAGGGAGCGGAGAGAGAGAGAGAGCGCGCGACGGGAAGGGAGGGGCGAGAGAGAGGGCGACGGGAAGGGAGCGGAGAGAGAGAGCGCGACGGGAAGGGAGGGGCGAGAGAGAGGGCGAGGGGAAGGGAGCGGAGAGAGAGAGCGCGACGGGAAGGGAGCGGAGAGAGAGGCCGACGGGAAGGGAGCGGAGAGAGAGCGCGATTCGGAGGAGGAGCGAGAGAGAGGGCGATCGGTAGGGAGGGGCGAGAGAGAGGCCGACGGGAGGAGAGGAGGGGAGAGAGGGCGACGAAGAGGGCGACGAGATGGCGACGTGACGCGCGACGGAAAGGGAGACGGGTGGGCGATTTGGCGAACTCGAGGATAGCATAGTGGGCGATGAGAGGGGTGAGAGGAATGGCGACGGAAATGGGGTTCTCTGTGATCGCGAGGAAAATATCACTACGCAGCAACGGCGACTAAGTATCACAAACAATCTAATGATACTTTCATTTCTATGCCGCATCAGCCTAATCCCTCGTCTCTGGCTATTCTATGCTAGGCAAGCTCCGTGAGTTAGGCAAGCTACGTGAATGGAGTTGAAGTAAGCATATGTGGAACCCAGGCCCAGCTTGAAAGTCGAAGTCGGGTCCAACCATCAAACCGCACGACAAACAACTGTCGTGCAAATGTCGCATGCAGAAAATGCGAACGCGCGAGCACGATCTGATTTTGTTTTTTTGGCGGGAACGAATCACGTGTGTTCAGTCTGTGGAAGGGTGATGCCCGGAATAGTGTTTTACACAGCCCATCGTCGTTCCAGTTTTGCTTCTTCCGAGCACGATTTCAAGTTGAATCCGCCTTCACTATTTTATATTTCGGTTTTAAATTGGCTTGCAATCCTCCTGTGGTGGCTGTCATGGGGGCAAGTGATGCTCTTGCTGGAATCAGAATCAGATTATATTTTTAGCTGAAAATAAATACATACCGTATATAACTTAGCATGAGTGTGCAGTTCACCACACCAGAAACCCTGAGTAGCCAAGTAATCAACAGACGCAATCATTAACTAAGGGCCAACGAGAAATTGTCTAATGCCAGAGGAATGAGCGGGACGACCAGCGATGCAGCAATGAGCGTCTTCTCAGAGTACCCTGCTGCTGGGTCCTCACTCTCTCATCATGCTCATACCCTAGCCTCCCCAGAGACTGGAAGGTCACCCCCGTCACTTGCACCTCTCTCCAGACTCTTCTCTGCCTGGTCCCTGTACATGTCCGCCTCCTTCTGAGCCACCTTCGCCCTGCGCCAAAAATAAAACACTAAGATTCCGACAAACAGCACCACCCCCACAGACAGCAGCGTCGCTCCAATCGCCACGTACATGGTCACATCGTAATTGCCCTCCTCAGTGGTAGGGGCATCAGCCATCCACGAGGTGACATTGCTGGGCACACCAGACGCGGTGGAGGTGGGAGGAGAGGAGGAAGTGGAGGAAGATTCCGCAGCATTGATGGTACTGCTGCCAGTAGAGGAGTCGGCAGGAGGCGATGACGAATCAGCCTCAGGAGGCGAAGGCTGGTTGCAGTCAGGGCAAGCCAGCACGGCAATCAGCTGAGTGGGGCTATTGAACGTTACGAACCCTGTGCTGGGCTGCACTGCTTGGAGCTTAGAGCCCATAGGGGGGTTAGGATTCACGGTGGTGAAGTTGGCGTAGCAGGTGGTCCATTGAGCCGTCGGTGCAGGGATACCAAAAAAAGCCTTCTTCTTTTGATAAACGGTGCACCTCTTGCACTCCCCCGGGTTCAGCTTCATCACAGGCTGGCATAAGTGGCGAGAGCACAGAGAGGGGGAAAGGAAATGGGTGAGGTCATGTGAATGTGAATGAAAAAAGGTAAGTGTGAGCGTGAGTGTGTGTGGGAAAGAAAGGCACTGGGAGGTGGGAATGGTGAAGGGGAACGGTAGATGTGAAGGACACTGTGATGGTATAACCTCGGCGGAAGAGAATAGCAAGTGCGGGGTGCTTTTTTCCGTTAGCGCTACTACTACACCACGAGTAAGAGTCACGGAGACACTGAAGAACCGTCAACGCGAGGCTGAATCCAGTTACGGCAAGCTAACTATGACACTCAACTCTGTCATAATGTCAGCGGTCTTTTATGCCTGGTCAAGGCATCCCCCTCACCTGCCATGCCTCTTGACCGGTGTAGTTAACAGCGACGCCTTTCGTTGCCACTCCTGGCAGCGTAATCTTCACATTATCGTTGACACACTCCATGTACACCTCCACGCCAAACGCGTTCATACCCAGAAAATCTCTTTCGAGCGTCACGCTCCTTATCGTCACGTCCGCAGATCTGACGACAAAGGCTGTGGCAACGAGGAACGGAAAATAAGGAAAGAGCGGTAAGTTATGGCGGGAGAAAGAGGACCGCACGAAGGACAAACTTTGGGGGAAACAGCAAAATAATAACCATGTCGAGGTCTCGGAAGCACACTGACGCTCTGAGAAAGTGGTAGTTATTAGGGCACTCGTCTGACAATAAAACACCTGACTTTACTTTACAAACGATGACACAGATATAGCTAATGGCAACAAAGAGATGGATGGAGGTGACGAGAATGATGAAGGAAACTGGGCAATTGTGTAGGGAGAGACTTCTTACGATATGCCACCATCAGAAAGCACAGAAGTAAACACACTCTCGCAGAAATCTGTGGCGTCATCGTGGTACAACGTTATTGGGAACTAAGGTCGGAATGATACAATATGATCGTGTGTGCTTGCTGCTAACGCGAACACAGAATGGAAAGGCCGAATGACTCCCTCTATAATGCCTGTTACGACAGGCAAGAATCCAAGCTGGAGAGGACTTGCTTGTTCTGGAGCGAGTGGGAAACTGAAGCTGGCAATTCTATACACAGAGCAGCTGTCTGAAGTGCGAGTAACTAAAAGTGATGGGAGGAAAGCGACACATCGGGCAGTGCAACGTGTGAGCACCAACCAACGGGAAGGAATCCAACCAACGAACGGCTACTAGACTAAACCACTCTCCCCCTTCAATTCCACCTGGTTTCCAGTTTTTCCTTGGCAATAGCCGAGGCTCGGTTCGGTGCTCCCTAGACCACACCACACGCGGGTGGTCGCTGGTTCCCAGCTCTCGTTGACACGTCGCCGACGGAGCTGGTATGGATGTGGAATCTGGTTGGGGAAATGGCTCGGCGAAAATTCAGCGCGGACTTTGATAAGGCGGGAATTCGGGGGAAGAAAAAGCGTGACGCCACCTGCCTTGTGGCTTGTTCATTTGCGGGTTGCTGCAGACTGCTACTGCCTGGGTCTGTTGACCGCCTCACTGACCGCCCACGCGGAGTCGCACGCGGTCTGTTTGCCCGTCAGCGACATTCGGTGACTTGTTAGTGGTCGCAACCAGAAGGCTCGCGATCATTTTGGTGGGCGACACAGCGCAAACATCTTGTGGGTGGGTTTGTCGGCCACCGACAACCACAGCTTTCTAAATGGCTCGGATAAGTTATGTATACAGAATCTGTGCCTTGAATATTCCATAGCTCCACTACAACCAATGTCATACAGGAACCAGGGATGCTCGCATTTGCTGCTATTTGCTACTAGGTACGGTACCCAACATGATGTCAAGTGGGGGGCATGTGAAACTGAACCAATACCTAGAATCCCTAAGATGATGCTTGACATGAGCATTCTTGATGGCACGAGAAATCCACGAATGCATGGGCACATGAGTGTGTACTCTGGCAAACATCCACAAGCACAAGGAAATGGGAGCTATTACAGTGATTTTGAGAGTTGAGCAGGTTTAGAGCCATACAATGGAAAGAACATAAAACCATGAGATGAACTAGCAAATGCAGCTCTTACAGAAAGTGAGTCCACTCATATGTGATAGCCATAAGATAGTAGGCCATGAGAGCAGTCAGCGAAAGAGTCGATGCCTGAACACGATGGTGAAAGACAGGGATAAAAAAAAAGCAGCAGGTTCGGCTGGGGAGATGCAGAAGATGGGCTTGATGCATGCAGTAACATGAAACACGCGGGGACGCAAGCACACATCATTTGTGCACACGACAAGCTCCACCTGTAAACGGCCATCTTCAGTGTTCAGTGCTCACCCCAAGAATGAGGCGAGATACAATGGCAGCACCGGCAACGACTGGGAGGACCACGTCCGGCTTGTCAACCGACACATGATGGTATGGCCGCCTGTGATGCTTCGCATGAATAGACCGGCCCCACCTGCCCACACAGAAGAAAAGGTTGGGATTTATGTCCGGGTATGCAGTCACATGTGAGAAGCTTACAAAGTTCTTTCAGGCGGTAACAGATGGCGCCAGCATGCAGGTACTGCAGGCAGTAGGCCTGTGAGGTGGGGATGACGATCATACCAGGGGAAGGAGCTGTGTAGCAACTTCGCATGCAGCACCCACTCCTGCAGGAGCCACCAGCACACGGCTGCTGCAGCGACTGCAGATTCACCACACAAACAATGACAAAGATGAGTCTCGGGCTGGAGAGTAGGCTGGATGGAAGAGGAAGTACGAGAAACAAACAGAAGTACGAGCCATGTACAGAGGAGCACCATACCAGCAGTATCTAGGCCCCCCCAGTGAGGGTGCATGGCTCGCAAGCAGGTGGCAGAGAGCGTGGCAGCTATGCCTAGCAGCACTCCCGGTTGCCTCAAGAAGCATGTCGCGGCTTGCACCATGGTTCTAGGCACCTCCTCCTCTGCCTGTACCTCCTCCTCTGCCTGTACCTCCTCCTCTGCCTGTACCTCCTCCTCTGCCTGTACCTCCTCCTCTGCCTGTACCTCCTCCTCTGCCTGTACCTCCTCCTCTGCCTGTTCCTCCTCCTGTACCTGCTGCTGCACCTCCTGCTTCTTCCAATGCTTCAGCATAGGTTTTCGCCATCCCTCCTCCCGCCCTTCCTCCCCAGCCTCTTGCCAAACCTCCTGCCGAACCTCATGAACCTCTGCAAGTCCGTCCTGCTTCACAGGCTGAGCGCCTGTGTGTCTGCCCAACCAGCTTGGCGCCTTTCCCGCTCCCTCCCCGCCTCCCTGGACACTCTGCGCGGTTCCCCTCACTGCCTGTGCGCCCTCCCCCCATTGCGCCTCACCTGCGCCCATCCCCGTGGGCCCAAGGCCAAAGACAGCAAGCCTTAGTCGTGGATGCGAAGGGATGGACGGAATGCGGATTCGGCTTTTATGTAGGAATGGCAGCCTTGTGACAAGAGCAGGGGAGGAGGTTACCCCACAGGTGGAAGGAGAAGGATTGACGGGCCAAGAATACATGACGAGCTAATACAGAGGTGGCGATGCTCGATTACGTCACACGGACAGTCGCACGTCTCTCTGCTGTCCCTGGTGCTGCTGCAGCTAACGTTCCCCCTGTCGTTTCGTTCGACACGGTCGTCACACCACCAGAGTTCGACAAGACTAGATTGGCGGGCTGGTGTAACGATGTTGACGGCCGAGGGCTGAGCGGTTAAAGCGAGGAGAGGGGGACGAAACAATGCGACAAAATTGGGGAAGATCGAATCCATCGCGGCCGTGCATTTCATCATCCTGACGAACCGCCTGTACCTAGGTTAGGCGGATTGCGGCTCGACTAGACGATATCAACGTGACACGTTTGGCCTTGCGCAACCTCTGACAGCTGGGTGGACGGGACGTCTGTCGAACGATTAGCCCGATGTTCTCTGTGCAATTCTGAAAGAGTTGACGGAAAGGCAGCCACGAGGTTCCACAGCTTGTGGGAGGTGCTGACAGAGTGCTTCGTTTGTGGCCTGACGTGTTGACCGAAATGATACAGATGCCGTACGTGAAGTGGTGGAGATTGTTATGGAAAATATTTCACAAACTGCTGGAGGAAATGGTTGCTTGCTCTCCACCTCGTATTAGAACCCAGGGCCTGGATATGGTTGTTGGTGGCATAGAAACCTGATGCCTAGTTTCATTTTCACAGGACAATCACTAGACAAGTATGCGGCCCGTTCTAGCTTGTACATGTCCCGACCCGGTTCTATAATCCCAAGATAGCAATAGCCCTTTCATAAACACTGACGTGCAGCTGCAATTGCAGCTGCTACAGCCACTACTGCTGCCTCTTGGCCTTATGTTGGGCAAGGAACGCATCTATCCGAGCCTTAAGCTCTGTGTTGGGCACAAGCATCTCTGCTGTCAAATGTGCACGGGTGAACGGGTCCTTCTGTTGGCACCGCACAGGGATGGGTATGAAGGGGTCAGGGGGGGGGGTGGGAGTGATGGGACAGGAAGGAGCAGCGGACTGAGTAACAGGGCAAGAGACAGCCTGTCATGAGTGTGATAAAGTAGATTGCGGAGAATTGAGATGAGTAACGGTGGTTGCATTGCAAGGCAAGCTGTGATGTGACATATGCGGAGGTTATGGGCACGGGGAGAGATATGTGGGAGTGACAGATATGCATGGCATGTGGCAGGGATCCACATGGCTCAAGTGATGGCTTGTGCATGGCACAAGTACTGGACGCCTATGTGCATGGCATGGCATGGCATGGCTGGCAGGTGCACGGACCGGGTCGCTGAGCAGGTGTCTGAGGATGACAGGGCGGTCTACCACGTTGCCCGATGGCAGTGTCACAGGGTCACGCATCAACGTGCACTGCAAAGGCCGCAGCAGCAAGGGAGGGTGGGAGTAGAGCACCCAGCAGCCAGGCGGTTGAAGCAGTGCGGCACATGCATTGTGAGGGCAGCATGGAATGCACAAGGGCTGGAGAGTAAAGAACGGGGAAGAACAATCGAGCAGGGCAGGCAGAGCACAGAAAAGCACAGCACACACAAGGAAGGGGTGTGGCGCCGGGGGCACACCTGAATGGGGTCGAGGAATTCGTTGGGGATATCATCAAGCTGGGTCTCTATGTCCATGGCCTCTGCTGCCGCTGCCTTGGCATGCGCTGCCAGCTCCATGAATTGCTGCACCACGTCCCCTGGGAGCAGCCCATGCATGCCTATCACCGATGCCGCCTCTGGGAACGCCTGGTGGGGGGAGATGGAGGGGAGATGAGGGAGAGGGGAGGGACAGGGGGGAGAGGGGAGGGAGAGGGGACGGGAGCAGAATGGAACCATGTGGAAGGGACCAGACAAGGTACTGCATTAAGGGGTGGTGTGTGGCTGGAAAAAGCTCCTGACTACCCCGCACATGCCACCCCATCACCATTCTCCCCCCACCAATATTCCACCCCATCCCCATCCCCGTCCACCGACACCCTCCCCCCCCATCACGCCCATCCCGCATCAGCGCACCTCCTCTCTGTACGAGCGGCCATCAGCAGACACAGCCTCTGCAAAGCGGTGGTCCGCATCATGCTTCGCCAGGTTGGCGTATATGTTCACAATCTGCGGGGCGAAGAGGAGGGATGGGGGATAAGGGGGGGGGGGGAGGAGAGGGGGAACAAGAGAGAGGAGAAAGGAGGAAAGAGAAGGTGTTGAAATGAGAATGCACAAGCTGAGAAAAGCTTCATGCATAGACTGCAAGGGTGCTTCACTAGGCACAGCAGTGCAGCTCACCTGTGAGAGCAGCTTCTTGGGATGGAACTCGTACTTCTCCGGGTTGGTCACTCTGAGCGCCTTGCGCTTGGGCCCCACCAGCTGCAGCAGGAAGTAGTTGAGCAT